AGCAAATCGGCAGCCAGTGGAGCTGGGACAACAAGGGCGTTGTGTGCTCCCTGCTACCCGCTCCAGTTAGTAACATGGCTGCCGCACGCTGAACCAGCTGAAGCTTCCGGGCCGTCTTCAAGGGCAGCCCCACGTAGAGAGCGTTGCAGTAATCCAGGCGGGATGTGACAAGAGCGTGTACCACCGTGGCCAAGTCAGACTTCCCGAGATACGGGCGCAGCTGGCGCACGAGCCTAAGCTGTGCGAATGCTCCCCTGGTCACCGCTGAAACCTGGGGATCCAGGCTCAACGATGAGTCCAGGGTCACACCCAAGCTGCGAACCTGCGCCTTCAAGGGGAGTGCGACCCCGTCCAGCACAGGCTGTAACCCTATATCCCGTTCGGCCTTGCGACTGACCAGGAGTACCTCTGTCTTGTCTGGATTTAGTTTCAGTTTGTTCGCCCTCATCCAGACCGTCACAGCGGCCAGGCACCGGTTCAGGACTTCGACAGCCTCCTTAGTAGCAGGTGGGAAGGAGTGACAGAGTTGGACATCATCTGCGTACAGATGACACCGCACCCCGAAACTCCGGATGATCTCACCCAGCGGCTTCATGTAGATGTTAAACAGCATGGGGGACAGTATGGAACCCTGTGGCACCCCACAAGTCAAGGGTTGTGGTGCGGAACAGGAGTCCCCCAATGACACCTTCTGGGTGCGACCCTCCAGAAATGACCGGAGCCACTGCAAAGCAATGCCCCCAAGACCCATTTCCGCAAGGCGCCCCAGAAGGATACCGTGGTCGACGGTATCGAAGGCCGCTGAGAGGTCCAGGAGCACCAACAGGGACACACTCCCCCTGTCTAGCTCCCGGCGCAGATCATCCACTAAGGCGACCAAGACCGTCTCGGTACCATGCCCCGGTCTGAAACCAGACTGTGCCGGATCCAGATAATCCGTGTCTCTCAAGAATACCTGGAGTTGTGAGGCCACCACGCTTTCCATGACTTTGCCCAAAAAGGGGAGATTGGAAACAGGCCGAAAGTTGTCCAATTTAGTGGGGTCCAGTGATGGCTTCTTCAACAGCGGCTTTATAATAGCCTGTTTTAGGCTCGCTGGAATCTTGCCTTCCCGAAGGGAGGCATTCACCACCACTGTTACCCACTCAGCCAATCCCCCTCTGGCCTCTCTCAGAAGCCAGGATGGGCAGGGGTCTAGGATGGACGTGGTGGGCCTCATTCCTCCAAGTATCTTGTCCACATCCTCGGGTTTCACAAACTGAAAAGAATCCAACAAAATAGGACAAGCAGGTGCTCTCGTTACATCCACAGAGTCTGCATCTAACGCGGCGTCCAGCCCAGAACGGATCAAGGCGACTTTGTCTGCGAAGAACCGAGCAAATGCTTCACAGCGCGCGACCGAATTGTCAGGGCTCCCACCTGCAGAGGCGGGAGTTAAAAGACCTCTGACAATCCGAAACAACTCCGCCGGACGGTTCTTTGCAGACGCAATAGTGGCCGCAAAGAAAGTTTTCTTTGCGGTCTTTATTGCCGCGGCATATGCCCTAAGAAAGGACACAAACCGTGCTCGGTTTGACTCGCTCGGTTCCGAACGCCACACGCTCTCTAGTTCCCTCTTCCTTCGCTTCATAGCTGCCAGCTCCTCAGTAAACCAAGGGGCTGGTTTAGCTCGGCTACTTGAGAGGGGACGTTCCGGAGCAATCATGTCAATAGCCCTGGTCATCTCCCCATTCCAGAGAGCCACCAAGGCTTCGACATGGTCACCTACCAAGGTGGCGGGAAAATCCCCAAGAGCCGTCAGGAAACCATTCGGATCCATCAGTCTCCTGGGGCGGACCATCTTAATGGGTCCTCCACCTTTGCAGAGGTTAGGGGGCGCAGTGAGCCTAAATCTGATCAGGAAGTGGTCGGTCCATGGCAACGGAGAGATGGACAACTCCTCCACACCGCCACCCTGTTCCCATCCCTGGCAGAAAACCAAATCCAATGTGTGTCCAGCACAGTGGGTGGGGCCAGATATTTGTTGGGACAGCCCCATGGTTGCCATGGCAGACATGAAGTCCTGAGCCGCGCCTGTGAGGGTCGTCTCGGCATGGACGTTGAAGTCTCCCAGCACCAGAAGCCGTTGAGACTTCAACGCCAGGCTCGAGACCACCCCCGCTAGCTCAGGTAGGGAGACTGTAGTGCAGCGAGGTGGACGGTACACTACTAGAATCCCTATACTGTCCCGGTCACCCACCCTCAGGTAGACGCTTTCGAAATTTGCGGTCTGCGGGATGGGGCACCTGGTCAGATGGATGGAATCCCTATAGACCACTGCGACCCCGCCTCCCCGCCCTCCGGATCTAGGTTGGTGCTGCACGGAGAAACCCGGAGGACAAAGCTGGGTCAGATTTACTCCTCCAGCTTCATCCAACCAGGTCTCCGTGATGCACGCCAGATCTGCCCGTTCGTCCAGGATTAAGTCCTGGATCCAGGTCGTTTTTCCGTTGACAGATCTGGCGTTCAACAGCACCACCTTCAGTCCAGAGGGTCCGCTCACCTGGTTACACCAATTTACCTTAGGAGACCGATTTGGAATTGTTAGTGTAGATAGATGGTCCGAATTTTGCCGAATTTGAGGTCTCCTTTTCCCGCATCTCCTCCTTCCCACCACGACCTCTATGGGGGCCCCTCGGCTAGTGGAACACCTCCCCTCCTCCATGCCGCTATTCCTGGCTAGGGTCTTAACCACACTTTCGCCAGCTGTTTGGGATGTTGGCGTTTTATCTTGCCAATTGTGCTGGCCTTCTTCATCCCCCCTCCCCCCCTCATTGTTTCCCACAGGCTCCAGCCCACTACCTCCCCTGCCCCTTCCACCAGATAATAGTAACAGGGACAGTAAGCATAGGAGGGTGGAGGGCCACATGGATGGAAATGAACACTTCGGTAGATGGAGGATACCGGAGGCAAGCGTTAGCCGTGAAAAAGATGGTTCTTTGAATACTCGAGTATTAAAGTGCAAAGTGCAAAGTAAATTCCGCGGCTACCGAGTAATTCTTAAGGTGCAAGGTTTTTTAAAGTGCAACAAGATATTAAAGTGCAACAGCCTCAACAGAAAAATATTTGGCCCCCTATACTACTAAAGTGCGGCAGGAGGAGTTAGGAGGGGTAAAGTGCAACAGTTGATAAAGTGCAAACAGTTGGCTACGGAACAGGCGCCACTAAGCGCTATATTATGTTCTTATTACCACATTAGCAGCAGAGGTAGGGTGGACTATACCGTGCAGTGTTCGCAAAATGTACACAGTAGTCAGGAGACTGGAAGTTAGTAAAGTGCTATGATTCAGATGTAAATAGCTGACGTTTGATGTAAGTTAGCGGATGGACCTCCGGAGGTGGTCGACACGGTAATGGTCAGCCCAGTTGGTCTATATAAAAAAGGACGGCACAAAAAGGTCTACACAACATCAATCAGCGCAGAGAGGTCAGCACAGAGAGGTCTACACATTGCATGCCCAAAGGGCTGCACACTGCCAGGGGGTCTACCCACTGCTGGATGAACCTAGACGAAGAAGCCCAGCCAGGAGGAGCAACGAGCAGTGCTGGGTCCAACGGCAGCGTCCTGAGCGGCCAGATGGCAAAAGTCAGGCAAAGATCATGCCCACCAAATCCAGATAACAAGGGCCCAGCTAGACGACGCTCAGCGGTGGCAAACAGCCCCAGCAGCTGAGCCCCAACGGTGATAACAGCCCCAGCAGCTCAGGCAGCTCAGGCAGCTCACCTCTAGGGGTCGCACCGCAGCTTCGTCGCTTTGCCTCTGTAGTTGCTGGGATTTATAGTTCACCTATTTTATGAACCCCACCAATGATAGAATTGGGCCAAACTTCCCACACAGAACCCCCATGACCAACAGAAAATACTGTGTTTTCTTATTGTCTTTGGCGACCTCTCTGACACCCCTTTGTGACCCCCCCCCCCAGGGGTCCTGACCCGCAGGTTGAAAAATACTGTTCTAGAACTATGGGAGCTATCCTAAAGAATGGGCTCTATTAGTTATCTGTTCTCTATTGTGTGCTGTTTTCTGACTTTAATTGGTTAATTGTGAATAAATTGTCTGCTTGCCATTGTAATTGGTACTTGGATGCTTTAGTTTTAAGCAATGTATTGTTGTATGAACCAGCAAATTGCTTCTATCAGTGGATGAACCAAGCAATGCAAACTTCATCTCAGCTAGGATTGAGCAAAATGTTGCCTCCCAGGCATTTGTGACCCATAAGTCCCAGTATTCCACACCATTAGCTCTATAGGCTGAGGTTTACGGGAGTTGTAGTTTGACAATGTCTGAAGAGTTTCATTTTATCCTCCTCCATCCATTCATCCAAGCTTCTTAGATGGAGGAACCAAAACTCATTAAGCTCATTGATTAGATGGAGATAGTGTGTTGGTGATTTGGTGATCTTGGAGACTTGCTGCACACTCTCTGTGGAATCTTTCTTATAGGATTGTTGAAAAAGATAATTCCACGGACATTAACCTGAGCATCTAATTTTAGATCAAGTCTAACTTTGCTTGGACTTTGGATATTTATTTCTTTTATTTATTTATCGTGTCAGGAGCAACCAGACAGTTGTATTACATTTTTAACAAAACAAACAGACAAACAAACAAAACACAAAGTTTGCAAGCTTGGCAGTTGATTAAAGTCCAAAAAGGACTTTGGATGAGGAAAGTTGAGTTAGTACCAGCTTCTAAACACATTCTTTCCTGTAGGCTTCCTATAGGCATCTTGTCAGTCCCTGTGTAAACAGAATGCAGAATCAAATAAGCTTCCTGTCTGATCTAGCACTCCTTTTATTTACTGCTATTTTAAAATCTTTAGTCTTGGCAAAGAATTTCGAATCGTTTCAGAAGTTCCCCTCCCTCTTTATTGGATTTTAAAACCATGATTTGTTTAAAAACGTTTGACCAAATTCAAATGTTAATGCTACTTCAACTGATTTCATTTTCTTTTTTTTTAGGTCTAGAGAGCTGAAGAAAATACTTGTTTCCTAAAAGTGGTAAGCTGTCTTCCTTTTTGTTGCTGTTGCTGCTGTTGTTATTGCTGCTGTTGCTGCAGCAGCAGCAGTGGATTCGTAGGGAAGTAAATTATTCAACATGCACATTTTGTCTAGTGACATCCATATAGCAGTCAGTAAGAAATGTTGATTTCTAAATGTAATGTTTTTAGAAGTAGCACTTTAAGCACCACTTAACGCCCTGTCAAATGCATGTCAAAATTAGCAAAAGCAGGGGAGGTACAATATTATTTAATTTTACGCTTTTATCTGATTTATATGGCCATTCAAACTAACTTCAAAATAATACATTAATTATGTCTTGCAAACTAGAAAAAGTAATGCTTTCAGTTCCTCATTCAGTGTCATAATCTTTTTAGAAAATACATTTACACAGCATTAGGTTACTTTAAATATTCTGTTTGTGTATATATTCTTAAATTGTATGTTCTGATTTCTGCAATTAATAAATCACTTCTAAGAAGTACAATTTAGCACATTCACTAAGAGACATATTGCACTGTACTTGTTAAGACTTGCTTTCAGATAAATATGTTGTTCGAATCTTTTAGAACACTTACGCTACTGAAGATCCACTTTGGTGAGCAAAATCAGAGTAAAAGGCAAGGGTCATAATAAATTGTTTTGAATTGGATTTTATACGTTCCTTTCTCTTTATGATAACAATAAAATATTTTACAGCTGTTGTTGAAAGAAGAGAAGATTTCCTTTGCTCTGAAGCAAGTGTCTGAAGGTGGTGGCGATTTAGTAACCTGGATAGTTTAAGAAAGTGGAGAAGTTAGAGAATGGAGTTGCAGACTCTACAGGAGGCTCTGAAAGTGGAAATTCAGGTTCACCAGGTAAATTGCATTCTCTGACTTGTGCGTCTTACTAATAAAACCTAGTAAAAGTAGCTGTGGGACATCTGAAGGTCCGGCTGTAATATAATAGTTTTAAAAATTCGGGTATGCTTGTAAAATCTTTACTACAGTGTGATATTTAACTATTTTTTATTTATTGAATTATAGCCAATCACTTGTCTTGGGATCTTCAGGGTAATTACAGTTAGGTAATTTGCGTGATTAAAAACCAAGGGTGTAAAAGAGTGAGTGGGGGGGGGGGTGATGGTTTATAAAAATCTGAGTAGTATCAGTTATGCTAATATATTGCATGCTCTTTGTATACATTGCCTACATTGAACTTTCAATCTTTTCTACACGCTTCACAAACAAAAGCAATGTAGTACATGTGCTATAAATAAAACTTCTAGAGCAACATCAATAGGTCTCACAACTTTCCTCTCCTTCAAATCATGAATTGTGTCTGGATTCTGAAGTGATAATTAGTAACGTTTATTTTACTTGCACAGAGAGTTAAGTAGAGGGAAAAAGAAATTATACTTCTAAAAATGTGAGCCCCAAAATCTTCTGAGATGGTCTAAGCACTTTAAAGTTTAAAAATGGAACACATAAATGCGATATGAATACTAATAGTTAAATGGTACTTTTTAAAACAAAAATCAAAGCTTTATTTGTCTCCTATTTCAGAGTTAGCCCTCAGTTTTTTTTTAAAAAAAACTGGGGGTCTAAACCTGCTAATTTGGGACTCAGTTAACTGTGAGGGAGATAGGAATTAATGGAGGCCTGGAAGATTCTACATTTCTTGCTAGGTGCTCTGAGGACTGGACCATATGTGGCCCCTGGGCTGCACAGTTCCAATCCCTGCTGTGTTTGCAAGGATTCCAGCTCCCACTTTCTCTCTGAGCCTCAGTTCTGAACTTGTACTGTATATCCACCCAAGAACTGAGATTTAGTGGAGAGGCCCTCTGTTGTATCTTACTAGTGAGAGCAATGCATGGGAGATAACTGGTTGTGAAATGCCCTCCCCTTGGAATCCTTGATTGATGCTGGTGTTAGTTTCATTCTAGTACTGAGTTAAAACTTGGCTTCTAATTACAGCTTTGAGAGCATAATAATTTCATTCAGTTCTATACATGTACATAGTTTAAACCTTTGAAATGAAAAAGTTTTCAAAATTATTCAGCCATTTAACATGTTTCTGAATGTTTACATTATCCTTATTATCTTGTATGTTAACTTGTTTAAACTTTTGTTGTAAGCTGCATAGAGAGTGCATACTACAGTAGGCTACAAATACAGTGGCGGAAAAATATAGTCAGATACCAATTGTACAAGTTCTCCCACTTAAAAAGATGAGAGAGACCTGTAACTAACATCATGAGTTGTATTTTAAACTGTTGTATTTGTTTGATGTTTTAAAATGTTATTTATTGTCTAGTATTGAATTTTTGCTGTTAGCCATTCTGACTCCCTTCACGGAGGTAGAGAAGAACAGGATATAAAAGTTCTAAATAAATAAATAAATCATAGGTAGACCTCAACTATAAGAGACAACATGAGAAAACACATCCAGAAAATCACATTGTCTGATTTTTAACGAATTTATTTGCAAATTATGGCGGAAAATAAGTATTTGGTCACCTACAAACAAGAAAGATTTCTGGGTCTCACAGACCTGTAACTTCTTTAAGAGTCTCCTCTGTCCTCCATTCATTACCTTAGTAATGGCACCTATTTGAACTAGTTATCAGTATAAAAGACACCTGTCCACAACCTCAAGCAGTCACACTCCAAACTCCACTATGGTGAAGGCCAAAGAGCTGTTGAAGGACACCAGAAACAAAATTGTCACCCTGCACCAGACTGGGAAGACTGAATCTGCAATAGGCAAGCAACTTGGTATAAAGAAATCGACTGTGGGAGCAATAATTAGAAAATGGAAGAGATACAAGACCACTGATAATCTCACTCGATCTGGAGCTCCACACAAGATCTTACCCTGTAGGGTCAAAATGATCACAAGAACGGTGAGCAAAAATCCCAGAACCACATGGGGGAACCTAGTGAATGATCTGCAGAGAGCTGGGACCAATGTAAAAAAAGCCAACAATTAGTAACACACTATGCCGCCAGGGACTCAGATCCTGCAGTGCCAGACATGTCCCCCTGCTTAAGCCAGTACATGTCTGCAGCTCACTGAAGTTTGCTAGAGAGCATTTGGATGTTCCAGAAGAGTATTGGGAGAATGTCATATGGTCAGATGAAACCAAAGTAGAACTGTTTGGCAGAAACACAACTCATCATGTTTGGAGGAGAAAGAATGCTGAGTTGCATCCAAAGAACACCATATCTACTGTGAAGCATGGGGGTGGCAACATCATGCTTTGGGGCTGTTTCTCTGCAAAGGGACCAGGGCGACTGATCTGTATACATGAAAGAATGAATGGGGCCATGTATTGTGAGATTTTGAGTGCAAACCTCCTTCCATCAGCAAGGGCACTGAAGATGAAACATGGCTGGGTCTTTCAGTATGACAATGATCCCAAGCACACCGCCACGGCAACGAAGGAGTGGCTTCATAAGAAGCATTTCAACAAGGTTCTGGAGTGGCCTGTCCAGTTTCCAGATCTCAACCCTATAGAAAACCTTTGGAGGGAGTTGAAAGTCCGTGTTGCCCAGTGACAGCCCCAAAACATCTCTGCTCTTGAGAAGATCTCCATGGAGGAATGGGCCAAAGTACCAGCAACAATGTGTGCCAACCTTGTGAGAACTTACAGAAAACGTTTGACCTCTGTCATTGCCAATAAAGGATATATAACAAAGTATTGAGATGAACTTTTGTGATGGGCCAAAAGATTTTCTGGATGTGTTTTCTCTTGTTGTCTCTCATAGTTGAGGTTTACCTATGATGTCAATTACAGGCCTCTCTCGTCTTTTTAAGTGGGAGAATTTGTAGAATTGTTATCTGACTAAATACTCCCCCCCCCTGTATTTTAATAAGAAAATAAATGAATAGAAGGTTTTTTTTAAATCTGGCATTTTTGTATCAAAGGAAGGAACTGACAAAACCACCTCTGAGTATTTGTTGCCTAAGAAAATCTTACAGAAAGTGCAGGATCATCATAAGTCAAACATGAAGATGTATACACATATTTTTCTTTCTTGGCAGTCAGGACTGATGAGGGATTCATTTGGTGTGATGGCTGTCCCCTTGCCCAACCACCTCCCAATTTAAACTGCTAGACTGTTTTTGAATGGGTGATGGCAATTATTGGGCTAATTCCAAGGGTTACTATGGATTTTGAATCTGCGATGACTAATGTAGGTTACTGCAAATATCTGTTTTCTACAATGAAGTGTGGATCATATCAAGGTTTGGAGTAGATTATGGTAAACTGAAAGTGGATCCCCTCCTACTATATACAGATCACTCTGAGATGAACTTCGGCCTTTTTACTGCAGGAATGATAGACCATTTGAAATAATTGGCTGCCATATTCTCATGGTGCTGGTGTATTCACTACTCCCTTCAAGGAGACTTCATTAGACATGGCTGGAACTTCTTGTTGAAGCTCTGGTTGCTCTTTGGGATACAAAGATGCTGAAGTGATTGATGTAATTGCTGGTCTTGCTTTTAAGTCCTAACATATTGGTCAAGGTTTGTTCATCATCACCTAGCAAGTAGTAGTAATTTTGTGGAGTGCTTTACAAGTTGCTTACCTTTTGGGACAAGATGCTCAGATCATTGCTGTTAGTGCAACTCTGGATATTCTTCTTCAATAAAATGAATAGAACCTTTTAGAATCAAGTGTATGTCTTGATTATGGTAGTAAAACTGGTTTGGTTGGCCTGAGCTATGAATTGGAGGAAGACTAGAGGATGGTGTTTCTGTTTCAAAGATACAGCCATGTTAGTCTGGAATACCAGTATGTAAAGATGTCTTGTCACACCTGAGAGATTTAGAGAGTGATGTTGATAGCATACACTTTTGTACATTGAATCTACTGCATCAGAATATGTAGACTCATGCTATGAAAGACTACATTACCAAATTATTTCTCTGTTAGTCTCTAAGTGGCTATCAGATCACTTTGCATAGTGTTTCTGCTTATTTATTTAGATGTCTTAGCAACTTCTGATGCCGTTTACTATGGTATCCTCTTGGATCAGCATGCTGGGGCTCAGGGGCATTGTGTTTTAGTGATTCCATTGAGTTCTAGATAGCAGTTTCCACAAGGTGGTGCTAGGGTGCTATTACTTTGTCCTATTACACCTCTGCTATTCTGCAGAGTTTTATATTAAATGTTTGTATTTTAAGGTCCCAGTGAAATCTCTGAATTAATCTAATAATTTGGGATAAATTATAATCAATATCTTAAATGGTATTTATCTCTTTCTTCTCTTTTCATATAATTTGAGTGAAACTAGTAAGTAAAAGGGCTGGATCAGGGCCTGTGAATATCTAGAAAAGAAAGAGATGATGATAGTAAGGGATTCACCAGAATTTTGCACTAATTGAGGCTGGCTTACTTGCTGTGGTATTGGATAGATTACTCTATCTTGTTTGGCTCTACATCTTCGGAATTTTTAAAAGTACAGTACATGTTTGATTCATCATGTTTCCATATCAGAGTGCATTTTTAAAAAGTTTTCACAAACTCATTTACAATTATTTATATGTAATCTAAATTAGAAGAAATTTGTAGAAAAGATACTCATAAGAGAACATCCAAGATGAACAAGCCAGGACGTACTTTACAAAATATCTTGCTTCTCTTTGTATGCCAGATCAAATCTGATGTACGGGTAGTTACAGAGAAAAAGAGAATGAATGTCTATCTAAAAAAAAATGGACTACAAAACATAGAAACATAGCTTGGAGTTCCATTTCTGAAATACCAAAATGCCCCAATCTCTCCCCTCCTCTCTTCCAAAGAAAACCCCCTTCTCTCTTAGTAATGAACAATTTGAAGGTACTTAAAATCAATAAGTGACAGTGATAACGTTTGTATTCTAGAAGTGGAAATTATCTTGTCCTGTAAAGACACTCCTATTTGAAATTTATACTTGTCAGCCAACTAATTTCTTATCATTTTATGTATGGAATTTCCATAACAAGTGTGTTTAAAAATGTATCACTGTAAATAGGAGCTTTACAAAAAGTTCAAGACAAAAGTGAATGTTATAAATGAATTTAGATTAACAGACATTACTGCCTATAATACTGCAGTAATGTGAAGGCGTACAGATAAGGCAGCTTCTGAATTTAGACTGGTTGAATTTTCTTTATTTTGGAATCAGCCACAGGAAGTACCCTGCCTGAAAGGCAGGTAGGTAGGTGAACGAATGAAACTAGCACTGTGCCTAAAAGTGGGCAAGCGGAAGGATGAATCTGTTGTTACTGTATCCTTTTTTCATTGTGTAATAGTTGCACTCCGCTTTTTTCCATCAAAAAAGAGATAAAAGTGACTCTATTATGCAATGAAACATGGTAAGTAAAAAATCACTTTTCACTATTGTCTGACTAAACCAGTGATTCCTAACCTTTTTTTGACCAGGGACCACTCTCCAGCATTAGTACCAAAAAGGGTTATGAATCAGTTTTTGGCCAACTTTAGATTCGATTTGGGGTGCCGATTCAGAAAATTGAATTGGCTAGACTACATCAGCGCTAGCCTCTGATACAGAACATATGCTATGGTCAGCAACATGGAAGGAGTGGAAGGCAGTGCAAAAGGAACGGAAATAAAACAATAAATAAAGAGGAAGGCTCACGGACCAGATTTTTGTCCTCACGGCCCAGTGGTGGTCCGCGGCCCACAGGTTAAGAACCACTGGACTAAACTGTTCTTTTAATATAACAAACATGGTAATTTTATCCCCTCCACAAACTTATATAATTATGTTATGTTTGAAATAACTGGTATCCTGTTCAGTATTTATAATTTTATTTTGTTTATTTATTAATTAGAATATTTATATCAGGCTCATTTAGATTAAAATCAATTTAAATCTATAACAATTTTAAACGATTAAAAGAAATATTGAATAATCTAAGAGTTTTAAGCAGGCCAGTTTGAAACCAGTTTAAACAATTTAAAACAGTGAAAACTATAGTCCATTAGCAAACTGGATAAAATTAATTAAATCCAGTGACTTTAACAAAAATCCATGCTTTGATTTGGTGCTGAATTTTATCACTATTGGTACCAGCTGGGCCTCCACATGGAGAGCATGGAGTGCCACCACAGATATGGCTACCTCCTTTGTACTATTACAATGTAATAACCTTACTGTTGGAACACAGAAGAGAAACTTGTCAACAGACCTCTATTCTCAGGTAGACATATATAGAGGGATGTGCTCCCTCAAGTACTGAGATTCCAAGCTATTTAGGATTCTACAAAAGTCAGTAATTACTCTACAAAACCAGTAAAAGGCAAATAAAGGAGGGTGTCTGTTGATCTGTTTTTTTAAAAAGCAGTCTATACTTGGACAATATTTTTACTAGGAGTCATCAAAATGGAACAAAAGTGTGCATTATTTTCAGTTCTGCCAAAGGATGCTGAAGTTTATGAAAACTAAACTTGTACAATTATAATTATTATTTTTTTGCACCTGGACAGTTAATAGTGCATATGTGCTTCCATGCTGGGGTTCTCAACTACTGATGTTAAGTTAAGATTGCTTTCCAAGTAGTAATCACTTTCATATAGAATGATGTTGCCATTGTGGTTGCCTAAAATGCTAGTATTTGTTAGGAACCACTTGAAAAACTGTAGATTTATCATATGACTACAATGCAAAATTATTTAGTAATCTATGCATCCGTTTGAATTGATAGGCTAATTGTATGTTCTTTTCATATTAACCTAAAGGACTCACAGATCTTGTACATATAAGAAAGTCATAATAACTCCCTTGGAGTTTTAATTTATCAGGCTTATGAACTTTAATTTCTAAGCACATTTTAAATTTTTTTGAATGAGCTTTTGCCAAGGCAAGGATTAGAAGGTCAGAGAAAATATTTGTAATGGGGAAAAGTACTTGCATAAAAATGGTTTTCATCTGCTACATCAGAATTTTTTTCCACTATGCTGTACTCTTTTAAGTATAGTAAAAATATCTAGAGAAACAGAGAGGGAGCACTCAGGGAACTTGCTTTGTTTTCTGTACAAAGCATGCAATTTAAGGTTATACTTCAAGATTACAGTTTTTCATTTATTTATTTTTGAAATCACCAATGTGTTGGGTGTTTGACTAATGTAGATAACAATAATAATAGGTACTGTCTGCTGTCTTACAATATAAATAAATAAAAGCAACAAATAGAACAGAGGAAAGGGAATGAAACACATGTAAGGTTGTTCTAATGCTGAGCTAAGCAATGATGTCCTAAGAGAAAAGGCAAAAAGAAAAAGAGTGAAGAGAAGATATATAGATATGATAGCAGTAACAGGCAATGTATTTTATGGGAACCTACAGTTATATGAATGTATAAAACATGTCAAGTTGTTTTGTTCATTTTAAACTGGAGTAAACCAAATTTAAGTCAAGAGGAATCATATGAAATACTTCTGGAGGATTGTCAGTTGTCTGTGCAAAATGCTGAGAAGTCGTCTTCTTCTTTCTTTTTTTTAGAAACTGGTTGCCCAAATGAAGCAAGATCCACAGGTAAAGTATGTTTTGTTAACACTCTTCATATGATGTTTTAAAACCATAAGACCTACCCATGTACATCGCCTTTCAGTGGATCATTTTACAAGGTGAAGTAGGAAAGTGCATTAAAATTATGCAATGACTACATAGCCTCAATAGTAACATGTGATATAGTGGACTCTGTTCATGAAAATTAGAAATAGATGTTCCAACTACATATGTGATGTGTTTTGTAGCTGTTAGCTGATATAGAAACCTTTCCCAAATGGTACAATTTTTAAAGATGTTATAGTGTAGGGGTATGATTTGTTTTTTATGGGTATGCATGATAGGTGTGAATTCCCTACAGTTGACACATTTGAAATGGATACAGTTTCTTTCCTCCTCAGTCATGTCATATATACAGCACGTACTGAGTACTCTCAGAAGAAAAAATGTTAATGTGTGAATTCTTTGGAGGTACAATGAAGATTTTCTGTTACAAGAGATTTCTTGAAATCCAAATTGTTCTGTAGTGCAGCACATCCCATGAAAGAGGACACTTTCTTGTGTAGTGTATATTTTAAAGTACCTCTGCATATGCTTGTTAATTAAACTTTCCATTGAATGACACTTCACATTGTGTCTTCTCCACCAGCTACAGAAATGTCCCTAAGCATTGAAAAGAACCACTGAACAATTGTAGCACAAGGCAATTCAAATACACTTCACTGATGAGCCCTTTAAATAATCTGACTTGTTACAACCTAGAGGTGTTTTATAGCATACTTTTGCTTAAGTTGCCCTACTACTGTTCTGTGTTAAGAGGTGGAATAGATTTCTCACATTTTTCCCCACTCAGAATGCTGATTTGAAGAAGCAGCTTCATGAACTTCAAGCCAAAATCACAGCTTTGAGTGAGAAACAGGTAGGAAAACTTGGCATATTTTTAACACATGTTCTAAAGATATGTCTCCTACAAGCTACCAAGACAACTGCTAAAATTTTCCTCGTGTGAAAATAAGTGTGGGCAGTCATTGCATTGGATCTGGTTGGATGCATTTAGCAAAGCAAGGAAAATGTGTTCAGCACACTAGTAATGGATAAAGCACAGTTTATCTAGACCTGGAAATGGGCACTGACACTTCAACAATTTAAGATAGATAATTCTGTAAACCTTGTAGTAATCTAAATGTTTAATTCACATCCACACTGATGAGAGTGCCCCCCCCCCCCCCGAGTCATGTTTAGTCTTGCAGAATTCAGACAGAACTAAACATAGAAAGCAAGCATTGTACAACATTGTCTCCTAACGTTTGTAAACAAGAATGCTATATTTAGTTTTTTTTCAAGAAAAAGGGTCCCAGTAAATTTACGGGTCATTTTGTTTTGTCCCAGCCATTGTAATGCATTGAGACCAAAAAAAAAAAAAAGTTCCCCATGCCATTTTGTGACAGAAACAGATAAACTGCTGTGAATGTCTGGATGAGAAACAACCCATACCACTGTCTAACCAGAAAGGAATTGGAAAAAAGCTGTCTTGAAATCCTTCTACCTGCATCAGCAATGCATTGTTAAATAAGATAGTGAAAATGACTTATTCTGGCAACATTGGCATTTGTGATTCTCTGAAAGAGGCAGATTTCACATGAGTTTTAAAGCATATATTAGGTTTGCTAGTATACAGGCTTCCAAATTACTTTGCTATGGTATTGGATTTGTTCCATATTGCAGTTAAGCCTACATGATGTAGCAGCTGCCTCCCTTATAAGAAATGTCTCTTATAAGAAACGTATGATATATATGCCATGTTCAAGAAGACCCCCAAGTAAAGGCAACAGGAAGGTGCAATTGGAATGGGAGAATCAGTCTTAAAACTAGGAGTGCAGTGGTCCAGAAGGAATTTTCAGTTGAGAGTTCTTCTCTGCCCTTTTATATTTTACTACTGTTTAAGACAGAGTGCAGTTTTAGACAGTTTAAAACACACAGAAGTACTTGTGGATTATTTTACAACTCAAATTACTAGAAGAAATGCTTCCCACCCAGCATATGGATCTGTACAGAACTCTCAGTAATGGAAGCCAGTCCAACATGGAAAATTCAGGTCTTAGTACCGAGTCCCCTGGAAAGAAGCTCACTAGGTGATGTCCAGTTAGACAAGGGAGTTACGGATGGATGGGAATTTCTCAAGAGTGAAATACTCAAGGCGCAATTGCAAACCGTGCCAACAAAGAGAAAAAATAGGACAAGTGCAAAGAAGCCAGAATGGATGTCCAAAGAACTTCTAACTGTGCTAAGACACAAAAGAGACATGCACAAGAAGTGGAAAAAGGGAGAAACCACCAAAGAAGAATTCAAACAAATAGCCAACACCTGTAGGGAAAAGGTCCGCAAGGCTAAAGCACAAAACGAGCTCAGGCTTGCCAGGGACATTAAAAACAATAAAAAGGGCTTCTTTCTTATGTCAGTAGAAAAAGGAAAAACAAGGAGGCGATAGGACCTCTTCGAGGAGAAGATGGGGCAATGCTGACAGGGGATAGGGAAAAGGCAGAACTACTTAATGCCTTCTTTGCCTCGGTTTTCTCACAAAAAGAGAGTCTTCAACCTCAGCAAGATGGAGTGGATGAGGGATTGGAGGACATCCAACCCCAAATTGGGAAAGAAGTCGTCCAGGAATACCTGGCCGCTCTTAACGAGTTCAAGTCCCCAGGGCCAGATCAACTACACCCCAGAGTATTGAAGGAACTAGCGGAAGTCATTTCGGAACCATTGGCAAACCATCTTTGAGAGTTCTTGGAGAACAGGAGAAGTTCCAGCAGATTGGAGGAGGGCCAATGTGGTCCCAATCTTCAAGAAGGGAAAAAGGATGACCCAAACAACTACCGTCCGGTCAGCCTCACGTCGATACCGGGCAAGATTCTGGAAAAGATTGTTAAGGAAGCGGTCTGCAAACACTTAGAAACAAATGCAGTCATAGCTAATAGTCAACATGGATTTATCAAAAACAAGTCATGCCAGACTAATCTGATCTCTTTCTTCGATAGAGCTACAAGCTGGGTAGATGCGGGGAATGCCGATGGATGTAGCGTACTTGGATTTCAGTAAGGCCTTCGACAAGGTCCCCCATGACCTTCTGGCAAGGAAACTAGTCCAATGTGGGCTAGGCAAAACTACGGTGAGGTGGATCTGTAATTGGTTAAGTGGAACGAACACAGAGAGTGCTCACTAATGCTTCCTCTTCATCTTGGAAAGAAGTGACAAGTGGAGTGCCGCAGGGTTCCGTCCTGGGCCCGGTCCTGTTCAACATCTTTATTATGACTTAGATGAAGGGCTAGAAGGCATGATCATCAAGTTTGCAGACGACACCAAATTGGGAGGACTAGCCAATAGTCCAGAGGACAGGAGCAGATTCAAAACGATCTTGACAGATTAGAGAGATGGGCCAAAACTAACAAAATGAAGTTCAACAGTGACAAATGCAAGATACTCCACTTTGGCAGAAAAAATGAAATGCAAAGATACAGAATGGGGACGCCTGGCTCGAGAGCATACGTGTGAAAAAGATCTTGGAGTCCTCGTGGACAACAAGTTAAACATGAGCCAACAATGTGATGTGGCGGCAAAAAAGCCAATGGGATTTTGGCCTGCATCAATAGGAGCATAGTGTCTAGATCTAGGGAAGTAATGCTACCCCTCTATTCTGCTTTGGTTAGACCACACCTGGAATATTGTGTCCAATTCTGGGCACCACAATCAAGAGAGATATTGACAAGCTGGAATGTGTCCAGAGGAGGGCGACTAAAATGATCAAAGGGTCTGGAGAACAAGCCCTATGAGGAGCGGCTTAAGGAGCTGGGCATGTTTAGCCTGAAGAAGAGAAGGCTGAGAGGAAATATGATAGCCATGTATAAATATGTGAGAGGAAGCCACAGGGAGGAGGGAGCAAGCTTGTTTTCTGCTTCCTTGGAGACTAGGACGCGGAACAATGGCTTCAAACTACAAGAGAGGAGATTCCATCTGAACATTAGGAAGAACTTCCTGACTGTGAGAGCCGTTCAGCAGTGGAACTCTCTGCCCCGGAGTGTGGTGGAGGCTCCTTCTTTGGAAGCTTTTAAGCAGAGGCTGGATGGCCATTTGTCAGGGGTGGTTTGAATGCAATATTCCTGCTTCTTGGCAGGGGGTTGGACTGGATGGCCCATGAGGTCTCTTCTAACTCTTTGATTCTATGATTCTATGATTCTGTGTACCCATGATACCAAAATGCATAATGTCTCCCCAAATATCTTGAGTAGCATGCCAGATTCCTCTGACCTTTCCAGTTAAATTTTCTAGTAGTGCTTGTAGGTTTATCAAAATATATTTGTCATCTGTCATGACAGATGAGAAGCTTACATCATTTGTTATGATACAGCGGCATTACTCAGAATCGCAATCTCTCTGCCCCTGTACTATACTTTTTTAGAAACCAAAACACAGAAATCTATGTTATCAGAAGTGCAACATGGGCGAACTCTCATGGGTTTTATTTATAGTAAGCATTCTTTGATTTAGAATGTTTTTTACCAATTAAAGTTAAAACATGGGTATTTTTACAGCTGTTCTGCCAAATGCTACTGATGCAAAACTTAAATGTCATTGGTCATTTTTTACAAACTCGATAGATATCAACCACAATAAATGTAGCTTTGGAACAGAAAATTGTATTAATTACTTGAAACAGAAAGCAGCCTCATTTGGCCGCAGTGGTTCATGTCTTAGTTAAATCTTGACTGAATTATTGCAATACATTCTTTGTGGGGCTGCCTTTGAAGACAGTTCAGAAACTTCAGTTGGTGCAGAGACTGGCAACCAGGCTACTAACTGGAGCTAGCTATAAGGAACACAAGATGGCCCTTTTAAAGCAGGCTGCCGATAAGCTTCTGGTCCCAATTTCAGTTGCAGGTTATTACCTATAAAGCCAAAAACAGCTCATGTCCTTCCTATCTTCATGACCATATCCCCCTACGAACCAGCGTGAGCTCTAAGATCTGCTGGGGAAACCTTCCTCTCTGTCCCGCCACTGTCACAAGCATGGGTGCTAGGACGAGGGAGAAGGCCTTCTCGATGGTGGCCCCCTGGGAGATTAGGCAGGCCCCCATATTGTCCTCCTTTCATAGGGATTCGAATATGTGGCTATTCAAGAATGCCTAGTCCCTAGTTATTCCGTGCAACAATTCACACAACCTTGCACTTTATTCCATGCCCTCTCTCCATTGTTACAGTTCTGCACTATCCCATTCCCTTGTCCTTTTGTTTACAGCTTGGCCAGGTTTACAGCAGCTTACCATCATTGGTTGATGAGTGCAGTTTTCTTGAGTCTTAGTTGATGTTTTATATATGTATGTGCTATACTTATTGTATTTTGTACTGTGTTTATTATAAGTTTTGTTTTTAGGGACCTTGTGCCGGGTGCAAGCTGCCCCCGAGTCCCTTCAGGGAGTTGGTGGCGGGATATAAGAATGAAGTTGTTGTTGTTGCTGCTGCTGTTGTTATTCCTTATCATTTCAGTGAGATATTTTGGATTTGTTATGAACTTGTGTAAAGAGGAGAAGTTGTGTTGCAATTTTAAAATACTGATCAACCTTAGACAACTTATGTCTACAACAACAATTATAATGTTTTAAATGCTTGCTGTGCTTAGTAATGTTGCCTCATAGTGAAGTTGAGTTCCACTGGTTTTTGCCTAGGTCAAGTGACATCAAACCAGAAATTGGGGAGGGAAATTGCATCTAATTGAAAAAGCCACCTGCAAAATCATACAGAAAGCTTAGATACTTGCTTTTCCCCAGTTCAGCTAATTGCAAATAGCAAACCTTTTTTAAAAATGCATCAACTTCAGTTATTCTTGAGGATTTCCTACTGCTGACTGTACAAAACTGCCCTGATCTC